AGACAGCAAGAAGCCTCCCAGATCTCCAGATGCATTTGAGATATCAAAAAAGTACTCCAGAGTGTTGTTCAACATGGGGGTGAGTAGAAAATGAAGGCTAATCATGTTTTGGGTGTACTATTCCTTTAATATAATGTTTCTTGAGCTTCATAGATTACACGTTGTTGCACTGTTGTCCCTACACTGCGCCTGCCCACAGTGCTTCATGCCACTCGGTCAGTACTAGCAGAGTTGTCACTGCGTGGGGCTCGGATACCGGTGTACGATTTGCTGTTTCATTTACAACGCGAAGGAAAAAACCGGAGGAAGGACGCCACCAAGGAGTCTGCGGCTTCAAAATGACAGGGAAGAACACAGCGACATCTGAGGTACCAACATTCTGCCATATGGAAGAAGGTAAGGAACGGGTGTGTCTGTGCGCACGTGGGCGCATACATGTGAATGTGTGTGTGCCTGTGTGCGTGCGGGCAGGCATGTACGTGGCTGTCTGTGTGTGCCTTCCTGTGTCTGTACCTGTCTGTCTCTCTTTCATAGAAGAAAGATGTTCTACTGATACACTGGATATTAATCGTTTAAATTTCTTCCTCCCAACTAAATACCTTACACAGTGACACAACAGCCAAATCAGAGGTTGGGGAAGGAAGGGAAGTCTGTTGCACAGATTTTAGGAGCCCCCCCACCGTACAAACCTGACGCCAAAGAGCAGCAAGCCCTGGAGAACTCAATGGCAAAGTGGATTGGGCGTTCTGGCCTGCCTGCAAGGACCATTGAGGATGAAGACTTTGTGGATATGATGAAACAAGCCGATATATGTTAAAAAGAGAATCAGTGTGTGGAGAAGTTCTATTCCTACAGTGTTATATAAATAAAATAGAGAAAAGGAGAAGCTGTCTGAAGAATTTTTATTCTGTACAGTGTGATATATATGTTTAAAAAAGCAGAGTGTAGAGAAGTTATATTATTTACAGTGTTGACTAAATGACTAAAATGACAAAAATGAGACTAAGACTAAAACAAAATCGGGAAGGCAATGACTAAATATGACTAAGACTTAAATAGATTTTTGTCGTTGTAACTAAGACTAAATAAAAAAAGCTGGATTGTTTTTTTTTACTTTTTTGGAACAACTGTGACCTTGATGACTGAGAACCTTCACCAACATGATCAAAGTTCACAACCTTCCCGCCACAGCCTGCTGGTGAATGATAAAGTGTCGTATATATTGTCATTTGGCAACAGTTAACGTGCCAGCTTTATTCTATCATTATCAGGATCTACAGGGATGGTTTTAAATCGACTGGTTAGCGACCACTGCTTTAGGCTAACTGCTGGAGATGGAAGGAGGAGAGCGGACAATCAGAGACGCATGCCGGGCAGCAGCTGGCCAGTGTGCTGGACCTAGGACCACAAAACAGTTCTTTCTAGAGCTAAATTAAAGCGACTTATTAAAAAGCAACCCAACAAACCCCTTAAAAGCATTTCCATCTTCTGCCTTTGTCTACATTATTTTCATCATTATCTTTCATTTTAAGTGTTTAATACAAGATACTTTCTCATCTCCTAATTTTTACTTTATATTTCATCATTAAATATCTCCCAGATCTCCTCATCATCATCATTCAGAGCTGCTCGTCCTATAGAAAGACTGTCACTGCAGCCAACTGGTTGCCGTGGTAATTCCTCTTCGACATCTGCTTCTCCTTAGTTATCTTCTGCTACCTATGACCCTCGTGAGGAAGCTTGGTTCTGCTCCTCTAGGCTCTCCGTTCTCTCTGATGCTGGTGAGACCAGTCGGCGGCGCTAACCTACCTGCAGTCGGGTTGCGTGCACGCCCTCCATGCATCCATCTCCACCGACAGCTGCTCGATCTTCAGAGGGACGCAGACCTCTCTCCTCTTCAGCAGCTGGCTGAGAGACAGACAGGAAAAGCTTTCATTAAAACCAGAAACCTAAACATGTTGCCTGCTTCCTGATTACCACCTTCAGGAGATGTTTATCCAGCTACATCCCTGAAAACGTCAAACAACTGAAAAAAAC